AGATGGGAAAAGTGTGTGACAGTGCTGGGAGACTACGTTGAAAAATAAAAAGAAAAAAAAAGTAAGCTTCTATCTGTATAAGAAGTTCTTATACCGAAAAATTCACCTTAATTATTGAATGACCCTCGTATTTTAGAAAATGTATTGCTGGTTGTTTTTTTTTCAAAAACGTATTACTGGTAATAGTTTTTTTTCTTCAAAAATTTATTTCTGGTAATAATTTTTTACAAAGTATTTCTGGTACCAAAACCTATTTTTACACTTTTATAATGCTTTTTATCTCAGTTTTTTGGGTAACTATTTACCCATAGCTGGGGCTCCAACAGGTGAAACCACCCCGGGTCGACCTTGGAACAATTATTACACGACCTCGAAGTGCTCAGAAACTATAGACCATTAAATGTAAGAAAATAGTATTTACGGTTGTGTGGTGAACAGCCCGTAGAAGCAAGTGAGCCAGACTGGCTTGCATCTGGTGCATAGGAAAATAGGGGTCTTATCTTAACGGACGGCACGTGACATCGGCAAGTTTGCCCCGTGAAAATGCCATTACTCTCCCGCTCTAGCAGTATGCGGCATGATTCCACCAATAACCAATGGGTAACTGAGAATAAAAGCGAAGAACGCTGATTGGTTGTTCGACCGCAGTGTTGGCCTGATAAAAGAGGGCTGAAGCAGCGTAAAGGGCAGAAGGAAAGACGGATATACGCTGTGACGTGTTCAGAAAGCAAGAATGGCCAATTGAACAAGCGGTATCTTGATTTGTACAAGTAACGTCGTAGCAATGCAGACTTATTTAAACTACAGGTTGTTAGCAAATGCGACAAACCAGTGTGTAACTTACACATCGGGGACGTCAAAATCAAGCATTTACAAAGAATTAACTCTTAGTAGTGTAGTAACAGACGAACATGTGACATAGAAATTTGTGAATGGCAAAAGCTACATAATATTTAATTCCGTATATGGCAGTGATTCATCATAATGAAAGGAAGGGACATGAAGGGACAAGATATGTTGTTTTACTTACGATTTTTTGAGAATACCATGGACAGAATATGTGATCAAAGAGGAAGTTTAAAGAAATATAGTAATTATAAGAATCTGATACTAACAATTAGAAAAAGACAGAACAAAAACTTCTGCAACGGATAATAAGAGGCCGCCATCTAAAGCAGTGGTCCTCAAAGTTTCTGAAGTCGGGACGAACTTGAAAACCTACTAATAATTGTAGACGGACTATATACAACTTCCGGAAAATATATGTTATAATTAAGTCAAATATTGCAGAAAAGAAATAATTCAATAAAAAAAAACATATAAAAGGAAACATGCCTTAGGTTTATTCATTCTTGTGTTTAAGGGAAACATGAGCTTGAAGAGTCTTAGGGATTTCTTCAATGTTTGGCCGTATATTTGGTAGCCAAACTCTCATTACCTCGTCAATACATTGAAGAGTTCTTCTCTTATTGAACTTAATTGTGGTGACAGCAGAAAAGCCTAATTCACATAAATATGAACGAAACGCGTACTGCAATAGAATAAAGTAAATATATTTATTTCTTATATCTGGACACATATTTCTCTGGAATGCCAAGGTGCACCTAGACATCATCCAGCGCGCACCAGATCACCATTTGAGAACCACTGATCTTGATGGCATTATAGAAAACGGTACAATACTGAGGAGAGTCCTAAAGTGCCGTGGAAACTTGCTCTCACTTCGTCGCGAAGGTAAGCCATCATTTATTTACAGAATCCCTAATGAAGTTGAACCATCTAGACAATGGAATTATTGAAGGCCTGGAGAGTTTAACAAGGAAAGCAAGCAAAGCTGGGTGGAACAATGAATGCATTATTTAGCGGGTTTGTGTGAATAAAACATAAAAAGGTATCGTAAAGGGAGGAAAGTTACTGAGTATCAAAAGACAGGACGTTGTGGAGTACCATGAATGCCTACGTTAGTTCTGGGAAAACTGCGGTCAGCAGGCCACATGCAGTCCCTTTGGTTTTCCGAATATCACGCCTAATTTCACAAGGAAAATATCCTTTATTAAAAGTTTGGTTGTTTCTTTTCGTACTCACTTGTTCACTCACACTGTCTCATACATAAACAATGAATAAATACAATATTCCTTCAGTTTTGAAACTTTATACCCTTGAGCAAATTAATTATACGGAAAGATGTGGAGGGCCATGATCACCTGAATCCTTGTGCAAATTAATTTAGACTAAACGAATAATTCCGTTATTATTTACATTTTTTCGTATTTTTCCAATGCAACCAGTGCACATGTTAGTACTTCGTATGTCCATTCCAGGAAGTCATTCCTTGCAGATTAACCACAAATTATCGATTGGATTTAAATCTGGAGAGCTTTAGGGTCAGTCTCTAGTACTTTGATTTGCTCACTGGTAAGGCTTGTCAGTGTGTTCATGCAGCATTACAGTTTTCGAACGCTTCCTTGTAGTAACGTCCATCACAGACAATGGTCGTAGGACATCTAATCGACAGTCGAGACAATAGTGTCTGGGCGTGATAGAAATCACAGATGACGCAATATTTTTCCAAGTTCAGTTTTCCCAAGTTTTTATAGCAAAATGAAAATCGATACAATACGAAAAGGTATCAAAATAAATTTTTATAGTAAAATTACCGGCAATATATTTTCATAAAAAATTACCAACAATATATTTCTGTACTGAAATTACCAAAAATACATTTTAAAAGAGGAGGCACGGATAGCGGCTTGCATTGAGGAATCGGAGAGCCGAGTTCGAATTCCAGTCGAATCCATTACATTCACTTACGTGCTAATACTCTTGGGAAAGGTATGGATACTCTTCTTCCAGCTATGGATAAATAGCAGGACAGACCGTGTTCTATAGCCTTGGATGGCAACTGGTCTATCGGGAAAAACTGCCTTGTCAGTCATGTATCGAAAGACACATGATCGCCTAAGTGTACATCACGCATGTCATATAACTGAATGACATTTTAAAAAGTACCAATAATGCATTTTATCCTCTACAAACAATATATTAAAAAAAGGTCATAAGTTCTGTCCGAATTTTGAATAAAGAAAACAAGTGACCAAATGTTACATTTAATTACAGATTCAATCAACAATGTATTTTCCCCTGATTATCTATGACTTCCTTCCATCTATTAACAAGCTTACTAATTCCATTCCTGTAAAATTCTTTTGGCTTTGATTCGAAGAACTCACAAATGTCAGTTTTAACTTCTTCCTGTGTTACAAAAGCTGTTTCTTCCAAATGATTCTGTAAGCTACGAAACAAATGGTAGTCTGAAGGCGCAAAATCAGGAGAATAAGATGAATGAGGAATTTTCTCCCAACCAAGTACTTCGATCTTTTGTGACGTGATTCTTGCTGTGTGGGGTCACGCAATGTCCTGATGAAAGATCACCTCTTTTCAATTCACTAGAACAGGTCTTTTTTTCCTCAAAGCTTGGTTCAAACGCTCTAATTGCCGACAGTATATTTGAGCATTTATTGTTGCATTAGGTGGTAAGAATTCAAAGTGTATTTTTCCTTGGCGATCCCACCAGATTGAAAGAAAAACATTTTGCCCATGAAGTTCCCTTCTCGGCCGTGGCTGGGGTCCTTCCTCTTTACCAAGCCACTGTCTACGACGCTTAACATTTCGATAAAAGATCCATTTTTCGTCGCCAGTCACAAGTCTATCCAAAAAAAGTGAAACAAGTTGGCGAGAATGGAGAGAAGAACAGATGTCAACTCGGGATTTGAGGTTATTTTCAGACAATTCATGGAGGAACCCATTTTCCAAGTTGAGGAACTTTTCCAAGTTGTTGAAGATGACGATGAACAGTTGTATGGTTTGAACTGAGAACCACTGCCAATTCCTCAACTGATAAAGCAGGATTTTCTTCAAGGGCTGCTTCAAGAAGCTTTTCATCAAGAAGCTTTTCATCAAATTCAACTGGACGTCCGGTTCGATCTTCACCTTTATGAGTGAAATCTCCACCTCTGAATTTTGCAAACCATCTTCTGCAAGTTCTTTCATTCACACATTCCTCTACATAAACTGAGTGAATGTTTCTAGCCACTTCGGCTGCTGAGTTTCCTTTCTTGAACTCATAAAACATTATGTGCCTCAAATGATTCTTGGGTACTTCCATGTTAGCAGGGTTTTAATTAAACAAAATTTAATTTTATTGTTCTCTGAAATAAAATTTAATCAGTTTAAATGCATCTAAACATAAAAATAATGTTCAGCTATATTAGACATTATAAAATACTCTTTAAATTTTGTTCATTTTAACAAAAAGTTAAAATTCGGACAGAACTTATGGGATGACCTGATACGTTTGCCCTGAAAGTATATAATTATGGCTAAAATATCTGTAGTTGAAGCCAAAAACTGCGTATAAAATATTTAGATTTCGACATTAAATAATCTATAGGAATAGGTGTATCGTTTTAATAAAAATAAACAAACCAAACCATTGAATTTTTTAATGACAAGAGGAAGTTTTTATAGAAAGAAAATATCGGCTTTTTTCCTATTTCTGGTAAAAAAATAGCTACACTAAGTTCAACAAAAAATTACCTTGAGTTTTTTTGGTAGCACAAACCGCCTCATGATTAGCTGTATCCCAGGTTGTCTATGCTTGGCCTGCGTTTTTAAAAAGCCATGATATATAAAATGAATTAAAGTAACCTCAAAAACGAATTGAGGATTGTATGTTATCAAGCATTTGAACCAGTTTTTTAGTACACTGATTTCAATCAGCAAAAGTGCTGTTTTTCATTATGCTCTCAATCTAGAATTAGATGTGTTTAAACATTAGCCAAATAAAGAGGATCTTGGATCGGTAGAAAATTTTGCAATGGCAAGAAATCGTCTTGTTCTGTTTTGTATCCTGGTCACGCGATCCGTTAAGAGCAATCCCCTTGTTCGGTGAGTGGATTTAGCCTTGAGCCAATATTTAGTTAATCCTTCAAAGAAGTAACATGAGCACACACACACAAGCTTACATGCGTAATATCTTAAAGCCACCGTGGACACACACACACAAACACGCACACACACACAAAGACTCTCTCTCTCTCTATCTATCTATCTATCTATCTATCTATCTATCTATTCCACACTGTTCATATCCTTCTCTCTCTCTCTATTCCATTTTGTTAGTATCTATTTATCACAATCTTTTCATTATCTATCTATATATCTTTCTCTATATATCTATTTTAGTCTCATCATATCTATCCATGTATCTATCTATATCAGTCTACTCATATCTATCTATCTATCTATCTATCTATCTATCTATCTCAGTCTATTCAAATCTATCTATCTATCTATCTATCTATCTATCTATCTATCTTAGTCTCTCTATCTATTTTAGTCTCATCATATTTATCCATCTATCTATCTATATCAGTCTACTCATATCTATCTATCTATCTATCTATCTATCTATCTATCTATCTATCTATCTATCTATCTCAGTCTATTCATATCTATCTATCTATCTATCTATCTATCTATCTATCTATCTATCTATCTCAATCTCTGTCTATAAAAACTGTTGTTCTCATTTCTGATGATGCGTTAGTCACGATATTTCGATCATTGTACGCTCCGTCCACCCGGGGTAGATTGTTCCCGTTCCATGTGCCATGGTTTATCCAGACGTCACTTTCAGTTTAATTCCCTTTAGTAATTCAACTCTCTGCTGTAGCCACGTATTGAACTCACAGATGTTTGGGTGCAGACATTGGATTCAATGCTTTTATCGACTGAGTCCTGTGTCCTCGAGGACAACAGTGTGTGACTTTGGGAACTTATGAACCTAATGTCTCGGTATTAGATTTTTACCTGAAATCATATAACAATTTGGGGTTATTATTGCTTTGTCTCTAGCAGTCTGTATTACTGGTTCATATATTGTTTCTATGCTTGGCCGGCTTAGAGGATTTTTGTGGCCTAGCGTATGATCTAATTCCTTGCATTTTCGTATTTTCTAGTGATATTCTCTGTCTATTATTTCAACCTTATCCCAAAGGGCGGTGATCTCCCTTTTCCTTTCATATGTGGTCAGCCACACCTGGTTTATCACGGCTTTACGATGTTCTTACAGGCTTACCTTAATGGGGCAGCCTGTTTCTCCTTTTTATTTCTTATCACATTGAGTTATTGAGTTCCAGTGATTAAAAATGGTTACTGAGACATTAGCACCCCAAAATTCATACACTGATGTCCTCAACGACACATGGCCCAGTGGATAAAAGCATTGGCTGGATCCAGTGATTTGACCCAAAGAGTTATGAATTCAATACCGGGCTATATTCTACAGCAGAGGCGAACTAGAACTTGCAGAGTTGAGTTACAAGGGAGATAACTGATAGTGAGACACCCGGAATGTGGGAATAGAACAACCTATACCCGTGGGCGGAATAAAACGTTCAGTTCGAAATTCCTATCAACTGAAGAAGGTCGTAGGGTACAACAGTCGAAACGTCAACCGAAGAAGGTCGTAGCGTACAAAGGTCGAAACGTGAATATAGCAAAAAAAAAAAAAAAAAAAAGATGAGGACAACAGTCCGAACAATGTAAATACCTATCTCAATATGTTCATTATCTATCTATTGGCTGTAGGATACCTACGGACGATAATGGGTATGTCCCCATTGACATAAATACAGTAGTAAATACTGTATGTTGGTCTGCAGTTAGAGATTCATTGTGGAATTCAATTGGCTCACTTGTAGCAGTTGATTACTACTTCTACGTGCCGCTGACGAATCTTATATGTGTTGTTCTTGTCACAAGTATTATCGTTCATTACCAACCTTTGTGTGATTATACCATTCAGTAACCATGCGTGGGTCACAACACTATCTATCTATCTATCTATCTATCTATCTATCTATCTATCTATCTATCTATCTATCTATCTATCTACAGACGGTTTCTATCTATCTATCTATCTATCCATCTATCTATCTATCTATCTATCTCAATCTGTTCATCATCTATTTCATTCTGTTCATATCTGTTTCTGATTGTTTCATATATAACCTTTTTCATGATATTGTTTTCTCCGGCCTGGTTTACCTCTTCTTCTTCTTCTTCTTCTTCTTCTTTCTCACAAGATAATGACCAAGAACTTTCTTTCTTTCTTTCTTTTTTCTTTCTTTCTTTCTTTCTTTCTCTTCACATCCACCTACTCAACGCTTTTGAATCCTGACTTCCATCGTTTTACACTTTCCTAGAAACGTTCTCCCTTTTATTGCATCTTGTATTTCTCTTTCTCCTCTCTTAAATCCTCAAACCTCTCTCTCTCTCTCTCTTTCTCTCCTTCCCCCGCTCTCTCTATCTCGGCATGTTCGTGCAACACGCAACCTTAAAACATATCATCTCCCGGGAGACTAACAACTTCCGAGGATCTCGTTTTTAAGCGTTCACTTACGAGACGAATCCATATTACAAACTGTTTCCTCATCACACGCATCGCAAAGCCTTGATACAGTTACGTACGCACTTTAGTTATTGGCAATGAAAAGCAAATCATTTTTGTCGTATAACCGGAATATTTTAACGTTTCTCTAACGTTGAATATAAAGGAATTCGAATTGTCAACTCTTCATTTTTCAGTGGAAATGGGAATACATTTTTTTGTGAAATGATGAAAATACTTTTTTTTTAATTGTCATATTCTTGTTACTGTCTATTGCTTCGAAAAAAATCTATAATCATTGAAAGTGTTGGCTCGACTCAGGCCTTTTGTAGCTGAAATCGAAGGCGTGGATTATCACAAAAGAAAAATCAAGTTGGTTGCTTTCAAAGGTGAAAAGTACCAACAGAACAATTCCCATGAAAGTATTTATAGAAAAGGCACAGGGAAGCCACATTGTGGCAGTGGGAAAATAACTGAAGCCGATATGCCTGAGCAAGACCAATGCCATTGCAGATTCTCTTGGGCATTTTATCAAGAATGTCTAAATATATAACGAAAACAACAGTAGACCATATGTGGCAGCAATATTCTAAACATGGATGAATGGTAGACTTATAAATATGTAAGATAGATTCTGGAGAGAAAAATTGTTTAAATTTTTAGACATCAAAATTGATTGGAGAAAAAAGCAGCTAAAAGAGATTTTAACAGGCAAGAAAAAGAAACTGTTAGCAAAAAACTTGCAGTTACTTTTATCCAATTCAACACGAAATTGATAAGAACCTGTTGCCAATCTAGTAATGGACTTCCATTCATAAAGTCCAGGTACCATAAAGTGCAGGTACCACAAAATCCAGGTACCATAAAGACCAGGTACCACAAAATACAGATACCATAAAGTCCAGGTACCACAAAATCCCGGTACTATGAAGTCCAAGTACCACAAAATCCAGATACCGTAAAGTGCAGGTACCACAAAGTCCAGGTACCATAAAGACCAGGTACCACAAAATCTAGATACCATAAAGTGCAGGTACCACAAAGTCCCAGTACCATAAAGTCCAGGTACCACAAAATCCAAATACCATAAAGTGCAGGTACCACAAGGTCCCGGTACCATAAAGACCAGGTACCACAAAATCTAGATACCATAAAGTGCAGGTACCACAAAGTCCCAGTACCATAAAGTCCAGGTACCACAAAATCCAAATACCATAAAGTGCAGGTACCACAAGGTCCCGGTACCATAAAGTCCAGGTACCACAAAAAAGATTTCGCAGTGTTATTGGTTCTGACATGGCATCCCGGTTTAAGCCTCCCCCTCCTGTTGTAATGAATAAAGTCGAATTTATTGTGGGATATCAGAGCCCAGAGGATCGGCTAAAAATTCCACAGAAACCCTGCATAAAACGGGGTCTAGTAGCTGTTTCCCGAGATGAGACTCTTCCCTTCGACTTAGCCACGTCTGGGGATACTCTCTGACCAGAGGCAGAGAGTTTTACCAGCATAGTCTCTAACTGCAGACCAACATACAGTATTTACTACTGTATTCATGTGAATGGAGACATACCCAGTATCGTCCGTAGATTTGCCACAACAATGGGTTAAATAGCAGGGAAACTGGATTCTCTAAGCTTCGTTAGTAATCAATCTTGGATAATTCTGAACTCAAAACCAGTTGTACGGTAAACACCATACCGTAAAACACACTTTTTTTTTTTTTTATAGAAACAAAAGCAGCAACATCTAGTTGTAGTGAGTCTGTGGCGGTATCCTTCATAGGAGAGTGGCGATGAAAAGGAGGAAGCTCTTATTCAAGAGATTGTAATTGTGTATTTTAGAACATTTTTTATTGTCTGTTTTTGTGAATGTTTTGTTTTATGTATTATATTCATATTGATTATACATACATACATACATACATACATTATGTTCATATTGATTATATATATATATATAAAGAAGAGAGAAAACGCAAACGTTTTTGGTTGGAATGTGGATTTTTTTAAAATATGCTTTATTTCCCATAATTTTGCTACACAGGTTTCCGGTCTCGCGACTTTCATCAGGCAAAGGGTGGAGATTTCCACATATTATTAGAAATAATTAATATTTTCCTTTTATGTTTTTTGATGTTAAATATTCTCGATATGTGACATTCTCTTTTTTGTGTTAGTTACCCAAATTTTCAGATTTAACAACTTAAGTCTTTGGCATATTTACCATGGAAAGATTAACACTCAAATAACGTGTTAAAGTTATCGAAGACTATTACGAAAATGGACGTTCA